TTTTTTACCTTTTAGTAATTCAATATTTTTTTATTCTTGCATTTTGTGCTTTTTTCAAAGTGCCACATCAATGCAACATCCTAAAGTTATAAATATTTATGGCTGCAATCAATATAGTATTATTGTAAGTTCTACTTTTAGGCTGATATTTCTACTTAAAAATACGCTCATCATATTTTCTAGTCTTTCTTGTTTGAAATTATTTATTATTTTTACGCGATTTTTGGTACTTACTATAAGTATACAGCATGTACTTGTACATTTTTGTATGCGGACTAATATTCAAAAAGAGTTTATAAAATAATGAAATTAAATAAATTTTCGAAAATTAACTATAAGCGCCTTGAATTATACTACGAGTATAAAAGCTGATGGTTCGTTCATACGCATCCCAGAAAAAATCTCTCACTATTCTACCGCAGCTTAAGACGCATATGTTTTTTGGCTACCCACACATTAAACATGCAATTCTCTGTGTGAACGTGACAAGGAGGCTAAATTTAACTGGCAAGTAAATGAGAGTGGAAAAACCACACTTGCAACTGTTTGCGCGAGCCAGAAGTAAAACTTATTCGTCGATTCCATAAGGGAGATAATGTGAGGGCAATATTTGGTTTCAAGGTACATGTTTCGTAAGAAAAAGCTGTAGAACAGAAATTTTTAAAATTTTTGGTGGTGAACGGTGTTTGCACTTGTGAATCTTTCGGTGGCTCCTGAAAATGGTGAGGCTACTGAGGAAAAGCCCATGGATGCACTGATGACTTTGTTTGTTTACGTTAATCTCCGAAATAGCCCAACCGATTTGAATGAAATTTTGTAAGTAAATATCATTGGTTCCCACGTGATAGGGTAAATTTATTTATTTTCATCAACAATTTTTTCCTTAGATTTTCTATTTACTTTATCTATTTTTCAACGAAATTTTTTTCGCTAATTTCTGAAACCACCCAATTGATTTGAAAGAAATTTTGTTAGTTTTAGATGGCGCTGTTTATTTGTGCCTATTTTAGTTCAAACAAATATTTGTGCTGTGATCAGATCTCTTAAATCCGTCTTATGCATTGGCATTTGCAAATAGGCAGACGAAATTTAATTTTGATATTTCTATATTTTTGCTGGCAACTTAAAAACCATTTAAAAATCTCGTCTTAATTTATAAATATGTAAGTTACGTAAAATATTAAAATACATACATATGTATGTACATACATTAGGACGGGTCCATATTGTTTGACATGCGCGTATAGCATAGGAAGATTCTACGTGTAACTGTAAGCAAATCTGCCGAAGAGACAATGGTCCAAGATCAATTTGGAGTTTACCAAATTGCGAAAATAGGTTTCGAAGAAAATTTGAAAATTTGCACTGTTGCGCCCTCTGGTGGAATTTTGAAGAAAAAGATAAGTGGAGAAATGGATTGCTCATGCCCAAAAAGGTCCTTATAGCATGCTTTTAAACAAAATTTAATCTCTTCTTTTCAAAACTACAGCAAATGCTAAGAAACTATTTGGGTAATTTGGAAAACTCCTAATTGATTTTAGACCCATGGTTTATTCGAAAAATTTGCTTAGAACTACAAGTAGAATACTTCTGTGCTAAACGCGCATAGTCGAAAAAATCTCCCATACGGATTGACCCGCTCTAATGTGCTTATTTGAAAGCTCTGTCTTCCCATCAGCGAAGTGTGGTGCAATACGACGCAGGAGCAGCAGCTGAAGAACAAAGTAAATAAATTGCACGAAACTGAGTTGCCAACTGCATGAATTTCAAGTATTTGTGTAAATAAAAATGCTATGCGAACAGACAAAGATAACAATTAGAGGAACCACGCACATGCTGACATTTAAGCCGACAAGCTGATCAAAAATATTTTTCGAAACAAACAGTATTTTCATCGCTTTATGTGGCACCTTTGCCTACGTGCGTACGTGATGAAATGTAAGAAATAATATAGCTTTTTATACCGTAACGCCTACTATGCTAGTGGAAAGAGATTTTAAATCAATTGAGATTTCGATTGAAATTGAAGCGGATGTTTTTCTTATTAAGTTGAAGCGTAGAGCCAAGGATCTTTGCATACCATCGGTAGCCCAAACGCGGCATCTATGAATTTCATATAGGTAAATCGAAGTATAAATCACCTTTTCGTACAGGCGACAATGGGATTTTAGGAACAGATCTCTTCTATTTTTAGAGTTTTTGTTCTTTAAATATCTTCAATGTACTTTTTCATATAGGTAAATGGCCCAGGTACTACTCAAAAATATATCTACTTATATTTTTATATAAATTATAAAATAAACTTTAATTGCAGCTTTTCTTGTAAATAGGTCTTAACGGTAGTCATACACCCTACATAAATATGTACATACATATGTATGCCTAAGACAACTCAAGTGCAAATACATATATACTTATATAAATACATACATACATACGTACTCAAGAGCAACTGCACGTTTATGTGTAGGCGAGCCTGTGGCTTAGTATTTGACATGCATGCAGCAAAGCCAAATCCATAAGAAATAACTAGCAACAAATACCACAAAAACAACTACCATAAACTCGCAAAAATATAAAATCCTATCCAAGAACCGGAAAAAACAGTAACAACCGCAATGTTTGGCGACTATGTATCCAGTTGGCTGTGTAGCAACAACAATGTAAAGCAGTAGCAGCTGCGGCAACCTGCAGCACGTTCCAAATGCAGTATGCGACGACGACTACGATGCATTCAACATGGACGAATGGCCAAAGATAGTACTTTCACAATGTAGGTGCATACTACTTACTTACATACATATATACATAGTGCTTGCCACAACTTTACGACACTCACATAAAGACAAGATTTGACCATTCATCGTAATATTTCTTAATGTTAATTTTTATAAAAATATAGCAAATTATTGTCGAAAAGCCATAGCAATCCGAGTTTGAACCTTCTTTGCAACAATAAAAAACAATAAAATTTCTTAAAAATTTCCAGCCTTTTAATTCGATTTTTTAGAAAGATTTTTAGTATGCAGTTTTGTATCCCACTCAATACGTAGTACGTACCTTTGATTTTTGGGAATTTGTCCTGTTGAAAATCGTCGAACTTACTTTGTATGGAAGAAAATCACAGATATGGTAAAAAAAAAAAAAAAATGCCAAAAATCAACGGTAAGTCGCAGCTACTTTAAACTAGCACTTTACTGTACTAAAATTTAATATCTTTCTAAAAAAAATGAATTAAAAAGCTGGAAATTTGTACGAAAGTTTGTCGATTCTTCTAATGTTACACAAAGACCAAAACTAAGTTTTATATGGTTTTTGTTAAAGAATATACTATATTTTTATAAACAAATAATTAAACTTAAAGAATATTAAAATAAATGGTCAAATCTTGCCAATATGCGAGTGTCGCAAAGTTATGATAAGCACTATACATACGTACATATGTACATAAGTACGAGTATATATTGTACATACATATTCATATCCATTTATTGGCATTATCACGCACATATACATCGGTAAGGATATTTGTTTAAATATGTGCGTTTGAATGTGTTTTTCTTATATGATGGCATTGGAGTAGATTGTGTTTGTTATTGCAAATCCTCAACAATTGCTCTCTGTGACACTCTGACGCTGGGTAAGTATAGGACTGCATTTGCAGTGGTTCAAGTTGTCTTTTAAGCAGGTGACTATTAGAGGTATTTTTGTGCTTAAAAGCTTTATAGGTGTGAAAATTGTTGAAGTTAAGAGGGGAACTATTGTAAGTAGAGAAACGATTGCTTTAAAAAGCAAAATATCTCTTCTAACTGTGGCATACTTATACTGGAAAAAAATTCGTTGCAACATCTACTAAATCTGCAAAAGAGTGGGAGCCTTAGTCTAGTATTAATGACTACCGGCGAAGGAATGTTACCATAGGTTACTTACTGGATCTTTTGTCGTAGTTAAAAATCATATCACAAATATTTATTGACCAAGACATGTCTTCGATTTAAATCGAAATGTTTAAAATTATGAACGGAAAATCGGCTAAGCTTTCTAGGATTAAATTGAGGTTAAGACGATTACGTATACGAATGAGAATACGATGAGGAAACTCGAATACGAACACGAATGTAAATACGAGTAGGAAGACGAGTACGAAGAATATACCAAAGCAAATATGTACAAAGACCCAATACTAAAGAGATGAGAGTTAAGACAAATACGAAGAAGTATATGAACACAAATGCGAAGACGAATACGAGTAAGAACATGAATATAAAGACGAATACCGGAACAAGGCGACGAAGGCGAAGGCGAATACGAAGAAGAGGATGAATACGAAGGTGACAACAACCAAGACCATTACGAAGACAGCGATTAAGACCAATACGAATGTCAAGCCGAAGTCTAATACGAAGACAAATGTGAAAATGAAGAGGATCCGACGGCGAAGACGAAAGCGAATATGGAGATGACTTGGTAGACGAATGCGACGACCAAGTCGGAGCTAAATTCGAAGAAGAATATGATCACGAATTCAAAGAATAATACAAATATTGATAGTGAAGCATTCCGAAGAAGAATACGAAGAGGATGACTAAAACGAACACAAGCTGAATGCGAAGAACGAATACGTATACTATACACATAAGGACCGGGACTAAAACTAAGCCGAAAAAAATCTTTGGGACCTTTAAAAAAAAATAGAAAAGCCGCCGAATATCGGCAGTAACTGGAGAACACATTGCTTTTATTAACCGACTTCCAAAAAAGGAGGAGGTTATCAGTTCGTCGGAATATTTTTTTTTTTTTTTTTTTTTTTTTTTTATGTATGTTACCGCATAACTTTGGACCACGTCAACCGATTTCGATAATTCTTTTTGCATCGGAAAGGTAGTGTCTCAGAGGTGGTCCCATACTAATCTGGTTAAGATCCGATCAGCGGATCATGAGATATATATATATATTTTTTTTTTATATGA